GCTGGCATCTGGTGGGTGCCCATCTGGGATGAAGCTTCCAGAGGAAGGAACAGGCAGCAATCTTTGCTGTTCTGCAGCTCCCACAGGTGTTACCTAGGCAAACAGGGTCTGGAGTGGACCTCCAGCAAACTCCAGCAGACCTGCAGCAGAAGGCCTGACTGTTAGAAGAAAAACTAACAAATAGAAAGAAACAGTCAACAAGAAAAATGTGTACTCATCCAAAGGTCACCAGTATCAAAGACCAAAGGTAGATAATTCCACAAAGATGGGAAGAAACCAGCACAAAAAAGCCAAAAATTCCAAAAACCATAATACCTCTTCTCTTCCAAAGGATCACGACTCCTCACTAGCAAGGGAACACAACTGGATGGAGAATGAGTTTGACAAATTGACAGAAGTAGGCTTCAGAAGGTGGGTAATAACAGACTCCTCTGAGCTGAAGGAGCATGTTCTAACCCAATGCAAGGAAGCTAAAAAAAATAATTAAAACAAAGAAAAAAAAAAAAAAAGATTAGAATAATAGCTAAACACAATAAACAGTTTAGAGAAGAACATAAATGATCTGATGGAGCTGAAAAACACAGCACAAGAACTTTGTGAAGCATATACAAGCATCAATAGCTGAATCAATCAAGTGAAAGAAAGGATATGAGATTGAAGATCAACTCAATGAAATAAAGAGAAAAGAAAAGATTAGAGAAAAAAAGAGTGAAAAGGGCTGGGCGCGGTGGCTCAAGCCTGTAATCCCAGCACTTTGGGAGGCCGAGGTGGGTGGATCACGAGGTCAAGAGATCGAGACCATCCTGGTCAACATGGTGAAACCTCGTCTCTACTAAAAAAATACAAAAATTAGCTGGGCATGATGGTGCGTGCCTGTAGTCCCAGCTACTCGGGAGGCTGAGGCCGGAGAATTGCTTGAACCCTGGAGGCGGAGGTTGCGGTGAGCCAAGATCGTGCCATTGCACTCCAGTCTGGGCAACAACAGTGAAACTCCGTCTCAAAAAAAAAAAAAAAAAAACAGGGGAAAAAAAAATAAAAAAAGCCCCCAAGAAATATGTGATTATGTGAAAAGACCTAATCTGCATTTAATTGATATACCTGAGAGTGACGAGAATAGAACCAAGTTAGAAAACACTCTTCAGGATACTATCCAGGAGAACTTCCACAACCTTGTTAGGCAGGCCAATGTTCAAATTTAGGAAATACGGAAAACACCACACAAAGGTATTTGTTAAGAAGAGCAACCCCAAGACACATAATCATCAGATTCACCAAGGCCGACATGAAGGAAAGAATGTTAAGGGCAGCTAGAGAGAAACGTTAGGTTACCCACAAAGGGAAGCCCATCAAACTAACAGTGAACCTCTCTGCAGAAGTACTACAAGCCAGAAGACACTGGGGGCCGATATTCAACATTCTTAAAGCAAAGAATTTTCAACTCAGAATTTCATATCCAGCCAAACTAAGCTTCATAAGTGAAGGAGAAATAAAATCCTTTAAAGACAAGCAAATGCTGAGAGATTTTGTCACCACCAGGCTTGCCTTACAAGAGCTCCTGAAGGAAGCACTAAATATGGAAAAGAATAACTGGTAACAGCCACTGCAAAACCATACCAAATTGTAAAGACCACTGATGCTATGAAGAAACTGCATCCACTAATGGGCAAAATAACCAGCTGGCATCACAATGGCAGGATCAAATTCACACATAACAATATTCACCTTAAACGTAAATAGGCTAAATTAAAAGACATAGATGGGCAAATTGGATAAAGAGACAAGACCCATCAGTGTGCTGCATTCAGGAGACCCAACTCACATGCAAAGACACACATAGGCTCAAAATAAAGGGATGAGGAAGATTTACCAAGCAAATGGAAAGCAAAAAAAAGCAGGGGTTGCAATCCTAGTCTCTAATAAAAACAGACTTTAAACCAACAAAGATCAAAAGAGACAAAGAAGTGCATTACATAATGGTAAAGGGATAAATGCAACAAGAGCTAACTATCCTAAATACATATGCACCCAATACAGGGGCACCTAGGTTCATAAAGCAAGTTCTTAGAGACCTGCAAAGAGACTTAGACTCCCACACAGTAATAGTGGGAGACTTTAACACCCCACTGTCAATATTAGACAGATCAATGAGACAGAAAATCAACAAGGATATCCAGGACTTGAATTCAACTCTGGACCAAGCAGACCTAATAGACATCTACAGAACTCTCTACCCCAAATCAACAGAATACACATTCTTCTCAGCACAACATCATACTTATTCTAAAATTAACCACATAATTGGAAATAAAACACTCCTCAGCAAATGCAAAAGAAAAGAAATTATAACAATTTCTCAGACCACAGTGCAATCAGATTAGAACTCAAGATTAAGAAACTCAATAAAAACCACACAACTACATGAGAACTGAACAATCTGCTCCTGAATGACTACTGGGTAAATAATGAAATGAAGACAGAAATAAAGATGTTCTTTGAAACCAATGAGAGCAAAGACACAATGTACCAGAATCTCTGGAACACATTTAAAGCAGTATATACATAGAAAATTTATAGCACTAAATGCCCACAAGAGAAAGCAGGAAAGATATAAAATTGACACCCTACCATCACAATTAGAAGAACTAGAGAAGCAAGAGCAAACAAATTCAAAATCTAGCAAAAGACAAGAAATAACTGAGAGCAGAACTGAAAAAGATAAAGACAAGAAAAACTTTTCAAAAAATCGATGGCTCTAGGAGATGGTTTTTTGAAAAGGCCAACGAAAGAGATAGACTCCTAACCAGACTAATAAAGAAGAAAAGAGAAAAGAATCAAATAAACGCAATAAAAAAAATAAATGGAATATCACCACCAATCTCACAGAAATATAAACTACTATCAAAGAATACTTTAAACACCTCTATGCAAATAAACTAGAAAATCTAGAAGAAATGGATAAATTCCTGGACACATACACCCTCCCAAGACTGAACCAGGAAGAAGTTAAATCACTGAATAGACCAATAACAAGTTCTGAAATTTAGGCAGCAATTAATAGCCTACCAACCAGAAAAAGTCCAGGACTGGGCTGATTCACAGCCAAATTCTAGCAAAGGTACAAAGAGGAGCTGGTACCATTCCTTCTGAAACGATTCCAAACAATAGAAAAAGAAGGAATCTTCCCTAACTCGTGTTATGAGGCCAGCATCATCCTGATACCAAAACCTGGCAGAGACACAGCAAAAAAAGAAAATTTCAGGCCAATATCTCTGATAAACATCAATGCGAAAATCCTCAATAAAATACTTGCAAACCAAAGCCAGCAGCATATCAAAAAGCTTACCCACCATGATCAAGTTGGTTTCATCCCTGGGATGCAAGGCTAGTTCAACATACACAAATCAGTAAACATAATCCATCACATAAACAGAACCAATGACAAAAACTACATGATTATCTCAATAGATGCAGAGAAGGCCTTCAACAAAAATCAACAGCTCTTCATGCTAAAAACTCTCAATAAAATAGATATTGATGGAACGTTTCTCAAAATAATAAGAGCTATTTATGACAAACCCACAGCCAATATCACACTGAATGGGCAAAAGCTGGAAGCATTCCCTTTGAAAACTGACACTAGACAAGGATGCCCTCTCTCACCACTACTATTCACATAGTATTGGAAGTTCTGGCCAGGGCAATCAGGTAAGAGAAAGAAATAATGCGTATTCAAATAGGAAGAGAGGAAGTCAAATTGTCTCTGTTTCCAGATGATATCGCTGTATATTTAGAAAACCCCATTGTCTCAGCCCAAAACCTACTCAACCTGATAAGCAACTTCAACAAGTCTAGGGATACAAAATCAATGTGCAAAAATCACAAGCATCCCTATACACCAATAATAGACAAAACAGGGAGCCAAATCATGAGCGAACTCCCATTCACAATTGCTACAAAGAGTGTAAAATACCTAGGAATACAACTAACAAGGGATGTGAAGGACCTCTTCAAGGAGAACTACAAATCATTGCTCAAGGAAATAAAAGAGGACACAAACAGATGGAAAAACATTCCATGCTCATGGCTAGGAAGAATCAATATTGTGAAAATGGTCAGATTGCCCAAAGTAATTTATAGATTCAGTGCCATCCCCATCAAACTACCACTGATTTTCCTCACAGAATTGGAAGAAACTACTTTAAATTTTATATGGAACCAAAAAAAGAGCCTGCATAGTCAAGACAATCCTAAGCAAAAGAACAAAGCTGGAGGCATCATGCTACCTGACTTCAAACTATACTACAAGGCTACAGTAACAAAAACAGCATGGTACTGGTACCAAAACAGATATGTAGACCAGTATAACAGAACAGAGGCCTCAGTAATACAAACAGATGCTGGAGAGGATGTGGAGAAATAGGAACACTTTTACACTGTTTAGTGGGAGTGTAAATTAGTTCAACCATTGTGGAAGACAGTGTGGCAATTCCTCAAGGACCTAGAACCAGAAATACCAATTGACCCAGCAATATCATTACTAGGTATATACCCAAAGGATTATAAATCATTCTACTATAAAGACACATGCACACGTATGTTTACTGCAGCACTTTTCGCGATAGGAAACACTTAGAAGCAACCCAAATGCCCATCAACGATAGATTGGATAAAGAAAATGTGGCACATATACTGCAATACTACGCAGTCACGAAATGGAAGAGTCCATGTCCTTTGCAGGGACATGGATGAAGCCAGAAGCCATCATTCTCAGCAAACTAACACAAGAACAGAAAACAAAACACTTCATGTTCTCACTCATAAGTGGGAGCTGAACAATGAGAACACATGGACACAGGAAGGGGAACATCACACACCAGGGCCTGTCGAGGAGGTGGAAGGCTAGGGGAGGGCAGCATTAGGAGAAATACCTAATGTAGATGACAGGTTGATGGGTATAGCAAACCACCATGGCATGTGTATACCCATGTAACAAACCTGCAAGTTCTGCACATTACCCCAGAACTTACAATATAATTTAAAAAAACAAAACTGCCATTTTGGTCAGGCTCAGACCTGTGCTGCCTCAGGATGTAATGTGTAACAAAGGAACCCGGGTCTGCAGCGTGGGCCTGTGAGGCCTGTGGGTGCCTGTGTTCCCCAGCTCCCCCCGCAGCTGACTCCACAGTGGTCCCCTCCAGTTGTCCCCTCCAACACACAAGGCTGTGTGTTCTCCACCACTTATTGTTACCTCAACAGGCCAGGGTTACTGCAGTGACCCCCATAGTAGCCTTGGCCCTATGGAGGAGCCTGGGGCTACCCCGCAGCCATACTTGGGGCTGTTCCTGGAGGAGCTATGCAGGTCTGTGGCAGCACTGCCTAAAAGTGAGACCAGATTCTAATCCCTATGGTTTTCCATGGGAATTGGTGATATATGCAGCTGTTGTTGAATTTTTTGTTGTTCTCTTTTCGTTTGGGGAGAAGTTTTAGGTCGGTTAGGAGTTGGCTTTATGTGGGAAGAGAGAAAAAGCTTGCTGTAGCACTTTCTGGAATAACTGAAGAAAAATTTAAACCGTCTGAAAAATTTAGCCTTATTCAAAAAACATATGAAGGCTGTGAAGTAGAGTTATCTTTAAAGAATGCCAGCTTTGAGAAGGAGGCAACAGAAACACAAAGTGTGGAGGCAGCCTGTGAAAAGCTGAATAGGTCCAATTCTGAATTTGAAGATGAAATACTCTGTCTAGAAAAAGAGTTAAAAGAAGAGAAATCTAAACATTCTAAACAAGATGAACTGATGGCGGATATTTCAAAAAGGATACAGCCTCTAGAAGATGATTCAAAATCCCTCAAATCACAATTAGCTGAAGCCAAAATGACCTTCAAGATATTTCAAATGAATAAAGAATGATGGAAGATAGCAATAACAGGAAAGCCAGAAACAGTTTTACAAGAAGCTGACATGTGGAAAGAACGAGTGAGTGAACTTAATAAACAAAAATTAACATTTGAGGACTCCAAAGTACATGGAGAACAAGTTCTAAATGATGAAAATCACATCAAAACTCTGACTGAACATTTGCTAAAGATGAAAGATTGGGTTGACATGCTTGGAGAAGATATAGCAGATGATGATAACTTGGAATTAGAAATGAACAATGAATCAGAAAATGGTGCGTACTTAGATAATCCTCCAAAAGGAGCTTTGGAGAAACTGATTAACGCTGCTAAGTTAAATGCTTCTTTAAAAACCTTAAAAGGAGAAAGAAACCAAATTTATATTCAGTTATCTGAAGTTGATAAAACAAAGGAAAAGCTTACACAGCATATTAAAAATCTTCAGACTGAACAAGCATCTTTGCAGCTAGAAAACACACATTTTGAAAGTGAGAATCAGAAGCTTCAACAGAAACTTAAAATAATGACTGAATTATATCAAGAAAATAAAATGAAACTCCACAGGAAATTAACAGTAGAGGAAAATTACCCGTTACAGAAAGAAGGGAATCTTTCTAAAGTAGAAAAAAAGATCAGACATGCCACTGAAGAGCTGGAGACCTATGGAAAGCAAGCTGAAGATCTTGAAGAACTGGAGAGAAATACTCACTTTTATCAAGGGCGGATTATTTCCTATGAGAAAAAAGCTCACAATAATTTGCTTGGCATCTTGGACTGCTGAAATGATTTAAGGAAAGAAAATGCTCACAACACACAAAAATTAACTGAAACAGAGTTTAAATTTAAACTTTTAGAAAAAGATCCTTATGCACTTGATGTTCCAGATACAGCATTTGGCAATGGTCCCTCACCATTGGGTCGGCCTTCATCCGAAACAAGAGCTTTTCTCTCTCCTCCAACTTTGTTGGAGGGTCCACTCAGACTCTCACCTTTGCTTCCAAGTGGAGGAGGAAGAGGCTCAAGATGCCCAGGGAATCCTCTGGACCATCAGATTATCAATGAAAGAAGAGAATCAAGCTGTGATAGGTTAACCCATCCTCGCAGGGTTCCTTCTGACACTGGGTCCCTGTCACCTCTGTGGGAACCGGACCATATAAATAGCAGTTATTTGTTTTCTCTGATCCACCAGGACAATTATATCCTGATTCAGCTCTTCCTCCACAAATGCAAGACAGATTTTATTCTAATTCTGGTAGACTGTCTGGACCAGCAGAACTCAGAAGTTTTAATATGACTTCTTTGGATAAAATGGAAGGGTCAATGCCTTCCTAAATGGAATCCAGTAGAAATGATACCAAAGATGATCTTGGTAATTTAAATGTGCCTGCTTCATCTTTCCCTGCTAAAAATAAAGCAAATGCCCCTAGCTTTGTTCCTCCACCTCTTACTCCAATTAGAGGTCCATTGTTTCCAGTGGATACAAAGGGTCCGTTCATGAGAAGAGGACTTCCTTTGCCCCCACCTCTTCCAGGAACCATGTTTGGAGCTTCTTAAGATTATTTTCCACCAAGGGATTTCCCAGGTCCACCATATGCTCCATTTGCAATGAGAAATGTCTATCCACTGAGGGGTTTTCCTCCTTACCTTCCCCCAAGACCTGGATTTTTTCCCCACCCCCACATTCTGAAGGTAGAAGTGAGTTCCCTTCAGTGTTGATTCCACCTTCAAATGAGCCTGTTACTGAACATCCAGAACCACAGCAAGAAACCTGGCAATATTTTTGGTCTCTTCAAAAGTAATTTTGACAGATCTCATTTTCAATTTAAGTAACTGCTGTTACTTAAGTGATTACATTTTTGCTTAAATTGAAGCTTAATGGATCTATAATTCTCAGGATGGTATTTTGTAAATAAAGATGATTTAAATATCGAAAAAATAGCTTTCTCATTATACTCTCAACTTTTTAGTTTATTGTCTAATTGTTACCTGTCTTTGTAATCTCAGTGGGTAGCACAATGCCCAGCACAAAATGACACTTAAAAAACTCTTGTAGATGGAAAAAATAAACAACAATAGACCTAAAAGCCATGTTGTATGAATTCACCATGGCCATTTGCTATATTTGCTGTATAAGAAAAAAAGGATATTACCATTTTTAAATGTGTAAAAGAAAGAGACATTCCAGTTGATTACAGAAAATCATCTAGAAGAAGTGAATAGAAACTATAGGAGATATATTTTTGCTCACTGTATAATTAGAACTTTTTCAAATGGGATGATTCCCATGAGGTGGGATCCTCAATTCAATATAACTGTTCAAGCAGAGTCTGAATGCCTTTTTGTCACTGAATGAGGAATGGGGGGATGGATAAAGAATTTCTCAAATTCCTTCCACCTTTAAGATTCTTCCACTTTAAACTGAACATTTAGTAAACAAATAAACTGACTTTCACAAAACATTGTTTTTAGGCAGAAAAACTATTGTCCGAGAAGAATGACGACTAAAGCACAAAGAAGTTGGCTATTTTTAAAAAGGTACCCTTCTAATCTGTCTGGAATTAAACTAAGGGCATAAACATACTTAGAAAAAGATAAACTGCAATTTCAAGCTGTCACTAAATTTCCATAAATAAGGTAAAATTCTTAGAGGAAGTGGATCAGAAAAAACAAATAACTGCTATTTATACCGACCTCTTACCCTAAGCCCTAAAAACTCGTGCATACATAATGACTAAGAAAATGAAAATAACAAATCAGATCAATTATATTAGAACTTTTACTGTCCAAGAATAGCCATCTCTTCCAATGAAGGAAAACTCAATAAATTACATTTAGAAAGAGCAACTCAATCACCCATGTAGCTTCTGGCTGCCACCAGAAAGATCAGAGGAAGTTATTATTAGAAAACTTGGGAAAGGCACATTAGAAACCACAGCAAAGCCCTTGGATATTTAAAAACTCAAATAGTTTCCATCTGTGTTTCAAGCCATAACCAAATTTGCCCAAACATTGGATATACTGGGGAGAAAGATAAATCAATATGCAAGGTTAGTAAATAAGAGATACATGGAAATGGAGACCCCTAGCAAATGTAGTTGTAGGTACTGAGAAATTAAACGTGGGAGGTAAGAAGAATATTTTTACAAGAAAAAAATCACACAGTTTATCCCTTTCTAAGCTAAAATGTCTGCATTTTATACAGAAATTGAAGAATTTTCCTGGCAAATAAAGTAAAGGAGGAGCTAAAACTCAAGAAGGACAATTCAAATAAGCAAATTGTGGAAACATCCCCAAAGGCCCATGGAACATTTGTCAGAGGCCTCCAGATGAGCCTGTATCTCTACTTACATGGGCTGGTTACCAAGATCCAGAAGCTCTCTTTCAGGAGTTTCTTCACTAAATGTCAAAATTCCTACCTTCTGAGAAGTGTCGAATTCTTGCAATTCACCAAACAGTGCTTATTGTAAAGCCTATCACATAGTCTATTCTCAGGTAAGGTTTACAGAATAAATGAATGAACAAAATCATCTCAGGCAAATGGATGTCAGCAGATCCCAGTGCCTTTTCCTCTTAAACAAATTTAAAACCATTTAGATATAAATATTTTGGAATTAAACTTAGTGTTCTTTAGCACACTACAACTATGATACAGGCCCTGGAATTATCTCCATTAGCACATCTTTGAAAATTACTTTCTAGGCCAGGCACAGTGGTTGATGCCTGTAATCCCAGCACTTTGGGAGGTCGAGGGTGGATCACTTGAGATCAGGAGTTCAAGACCAGTCTGGCCAACATGGCGAAACCTCATCTCTATCCTAAAAAATACAAAAATTAGCCAGGTGTGGTGGTGTGCATCTGTCATTCCAGCTACTCAGGAGGCTGAGGAGGGAGAATCACTTGAATCAGGGAGGTGGAGGTTGCAGTGACCCAAGATCACACCACTACACTCCAGCCTAGACAACAGAGTGAGACCCTGTCTCAAAAACAAAAAAACAAAAAACAAAAAACAGAAAAGAAAATTACTTTCTGATATAATTCAAAATAGAAGTTTTCCAAATGAAAAATTCTACTCTGTCTTCAAAATTATTCCTGAATTTTGTTAAAAATGCTGGTCTCAGCCTCCTAACAATTTCCCTTTAACTTGAGATCATCCTAGTGAACCCGTGCATCCATCCATGTTTTGTCAAATTATTTTTCCCTTGTCGAGATGATGAATTTCCTAATCTGTCCATATGCTTTCACCTGGGCTCTTCCTAGGCTCCATAACAAGCCTAGGAAGAAACTTATGGCCAGATAAATGAAAAGGCCTTGTTATTGAGCCTAGGAAGAACCCAGGTGAAAGCATATGGAAGGATTAGTCTATGGCCATAAATGTACCTTTCCTCTAACGAATATAACTGACCTTTACAGAGTGTCTAATATTTTTATTAAATGAAAAAATAGATTCTCAAACCCCAGCCCTCCCTGTAGTAGTAGCATATCACTAGATAGAACACTACCTTTTCATACACCAAGTCTCCTTTTTCTGCAATCACAAACACATGTATACAAGACAAGCTAGATAAAGGACATGGAATTCCTTTTAGGCTTGCCAGCCTGTTTTCCATTATCTTCACACATATTTCCTTTAGGGCCTGACTGTTTTAAAATCTTTTGTTATAGGGTTTGGAGTGCATCTTGAAATATAAATATTTATGGTGAATAAAAGCAAAGTCAAGTTATACAGTTTTGCAGCCAAAACTCCTCCCTGAACATTATAAGCTCATTTATTGCAAAAGAAGTTCTCCTTACTGAGAAGAAAGAAGCAAGACCATGAGGTATATCACTAAAATATCTAAGGATAAGCAGCCCGGCTCTCTATTATTCACAGCCAATTGTGGTGCTGCTCAGAGACACCTAACTCCCCATAGACAGTTTGCTAATGCCCTTCTTACCATACCTTTTTTTAGGGTTTTATAAGCCCCAAAACTACAAGAGGATCCTAAGTTAGTTGAAGATAAAATGGAAACTGTGAGCAACTGAACTACAACTGAACTCCAGAGCAGCAGCCCCTTCACTCTGTCCCACTCTAAGACATGCTTTAACCTCTACCTTCAGTCACTGCCAAAGCCATTAAGTTAAACTTACACCATCCAGACAACCTTGCTCCCCAAGCAACTAGTCTGGACAACTGTGTCCTGTTCTGCCTCAGCAACCTCAGCTTCCAACATAATTCGCTAACCATTAAACTGTTCCTCTAATATCTCTTCAGGGGCCCAGTCCAGGCTGCAAGGAACGTAAATCCGTTCTACTAGAAAGAGCTGTATATAACAGAATGAAAACTGGCTCGAGGTCAAGAAAAAAAGAACAGAAAACAAAGGCTACAAAAGACAGAGTGATTACATTCATACAACATTTTTGCAGTTCTTTTCTGACTTTCCTCTCAAAATTGCAAAGAAGCATACTTTAAAACCATCCAAGTCCATCGTTCTCTTTAATCTTTCATTTAGAATCCTAGCTCCACATATTCAGAAACTATGACATGATCTTTAAATGGTAGATGAATACAGTATATATATATGAGTATATATATATATATTTTTTTTAATTCCAAACACATTTTAAGAGATCCCAGAGGCAAAAGACACACTGTATCACATTTATTAAGACAGAAAGAAACGTCTTCATGATTGCATATGTCAAATAAGTTATTGACTTATACTTAGCCAAAGCTAAAGACAAGCCAAGAAATACTGGGAAACTGCAGAGGATTTTCCTCTTATCAAACAGATACAGATATAATCCTATCCAGATACATAATGACACTTCAAATATGCCTGAAGAACTGAAAGAACAAAAACCCCAGGTACCTAAAAGAATCAGCTATGCTTATTATCTGAATTTCCCATCCAATTCTTCCCTCTAATTCAATTTTTGCCCACCACCATTAAACTGTGACTCTGACCAGATAGGAGCTCGGGGATAAAGACCATGCCCTCCCTCTCTTTTCACCCTCTGATTTCCAGCCTATGTGTCCCACTGGCAAAGGAATCTGGCTAATGAGATGCAGAAAGGTTAACTTTCCAGAGCAAAGAAGGTAAAGGCATGTGCAGAGTAGACTTTGTGGGCAAACAGAGAAGAGCTAACACATATCCCTGGCAACGCTTCACAGAACTGTGGAGCTGATAAAATAAGATGAAGATGTGAAGGCGTCCAGCACAATGCCTGCCACACAGAAAGCACTCAGTATACATGAGTTTCCATTCCACCTAGCCTTGTAGGGCTTTAATGCCACCAAGAGCAAATTGAGGGAATGGAACTCACAGGAGGCTCTATGGTTCCTTCAAAGTCTGATTTCTACAACTATGTCCCAACTCCTCATAAAATAAAAGCCTCATTTTGAGAAAGTTTATCCTGTGGCTCATCAGGAGTCTTCATTTTGCTGTTTAAGTACATTTGAGAAACCATCCTCCAAAGATGGTTTTTCTCCAGACTTAACAGAAAGCATATCTTTATAAACCAAAAGCGAAAAATTAAGATTGTGGTAGATATCCAGATAATTCAGCAAAAATGTCCAAATAAAAAGTATTGCTCGAAAAAACTTTCCCCATTCCACCTAAGCTTGCCTTTCCTTCACAATGTGCTGTAACTCTAATGCACTAATAAAAGCTAAATAACACTATGACTGAATCAGAATGACTCATCCTAAGTACATGGACATGTATCTAGAAGAGCATGATTACGTTTATTCTAGTCAAATAATTTGAGATCAGAAAACTAAAAAGGAAAGCAAGTTCAAATGCTCATGAGTAGGATGAAAAGCAGAAGACACAAAGAAAAAAGTTTTTATCTTTAGCTTTGATTGAGATTTTTTCCCAGTACAAATCAGATTTTTCTTCCTTTGTGTATTTGTACTTTGCTCTTAAACTGTCCTGAATGGTCTTTTGAGACATGATGTTTGCCCTCATAGCTTACAATGTCAACCAAACATACCTTTTTTCAAAAGCTGTTCCTTCTGGAAAATGCTCTCCTGAACACCCCACTCCTGCCACTCCCCAAAATACCCACAAATCTAACTGTCTTGCTTTTTCGATGTAGGAGATTGATCAGAATGGTGGGAGAAATTTTAGAAAATGCAAACCTTCTTGGAAGGCTGGAAGGTCTTGCAAAAGCCTCGGAAGAATGTTATGGCTGAAGGCAGCATAATCCTCTTACCTTGAGCTAATGCATAGAGCAGATAATAAGGGAATGTAGAAGAATTTATCTAAATAACTTGTTTACACATGTGGTACCAAGACTGACCTTTGAACTTTCATGGGCAGAATTGCTCTCTACTGGGGCTGGGGGCAGTCAGCAATATTAGTTACCCTCTAATGGTGTTTACTTGAGACCTTTGTCATTTAATCAGTACTAAATAAATGCAAACACCTCCAGCTTATGGGTGCCACTGCTGACTTTGGCACAGGTCCCCTGGCTGCGCTGACTGCCAAACCTGTGTCACCGTACATTTTTCATCTGATACTTGGTCGAGTCTGCGGCAGACTCAACACTTCAAATCTCTGCATAAACATCATCAGATAGGTCTTTCCTGCTCACTTTATCCAAATAATAGCTCCACCCCATCACTCTCTTTCCCTCTGATCTTAATTTTTCCCTGAAGCATCTATTACCCATGACATATTATATATTTTTATTTGTCTGTTTCTAAATAAATCCCCATGAAATCGGAGGCTATGTCTGTTTAGTTCCTCATGTTCTATACCAGTTTCGATAAATGATGGATATGCAAAAGGCATTTGTTCTTGGCTGAAGATAGACAAGGGATACAAGGGACAAAGGATTCTGTACTTTGGGTTGCAGTATGCAAAGTATAACTACAAGACATGTGGTTTATTTTTAACACATTCAAACCTAAATGTACATATCCAAACGTGTATTGTCCTCTTGAAGGTCTTTCACTTTGGTATCCATTCACTTACTCTTATTAAGTTGCCATTACTTAAAATTTGTCAGATCACCATTTGATGATTGACATCAGCTCAAATTATTTTGAGTAGCCTAAGTTGTAGCAAATACAGATGAATCTAATTTTCTTAAATAACCCAAATCACTTAGAATA